TTTTTTGATATGGATTTGATATTTTAAGTATTTCTATCTAGCGAGTTCATGTCGTTGATTCAATTCTTGTAATTTTCTTGGGCAGACTCAATTCTATGTCTACTTCAGACCAGGCTGATCTCTGCATATATTTATTTTTGTATTTAGGCTTATTATATTTTTTCGGCATTTATTCCTTTTTTTGATTTTATGCAGTGTTCTTAGTCGTACCATTTATCCCCTCGAAGCCCACCTAGTGTGAGGCCTCGGCAGTGCAAGACGCTTTGTTCCTGTTACATCTCGACAGAATTCTCAATACTGCGATCAATCACTTGAAAAAAATCGGCACTCATTGAGTCAGAGATAGTGAGATACGTTTTTTGAACACTGGAAATGTCAGGTTTTTGCTGGGAAAAAGCTGCAGGATTCTAGCAAAAAAGCTAGCTTCCGTTTCTCTGTGAAAGCACTGAGATGGAAACCACGTCTTTTATGGAAACAATATGAATTTTTTCTATGTACATGTAACGACATAGACTAAGCTACTTATACGCTACATACACGATTACAGGAAGAACGAGAAATGTGCTTACGCAAATGTACAGAACGACCGAAAGATTCAACCGAACAGTCTTTGGTGGCAATGCTTGAAGAACGCCTTAACGAGGCAGAAAGCAGCATTCAGGACTATCGAGACGAGAATACCGTGTTGAAATGCGAGCTACGAGATTTGCAGGTTTGTCATTATTCGCTTTTTTGCTGTTCATCAACATTTGATCTACTTATGCAAATCACTTGATACACTGATGGGTGATGTATTCCGCGTTATTGACTGTAACGATATGATCTAAGCACCTTATGACATGGCATTCTTCGTCTCTTAGGTTCTCGGCTTGCAATTTGCTTCACATCAAAATTTCACCTGTCATTCATTACTAGCAAGCTGATTTATGTTCTCCAATCTTCCAACAAATAATGGGAATTCTATTATTTCTGGGATAATAAGTGGGTGGCGCTGGTTCTTGTCCACGAGTTTTGTTCTACAACCTGCACATTTTTCTTGCTTCTTACCGATTTTCTTCACAATTAGGCCTTCATTTACCCCAATACGTAGAGCCATGTTCATGCCATTTCACAGTTGAAAGCTTCCAGACTTCTACAAATTTTGCAGATTTGTCTAACTTCTCCGATTTGATGACATGTGTTTAGGAAACGACTTACGCAAACTCCGATGCGAAACTTAAAGAAAAAATCACTTGCACAGAAGCGCTCTGTGACGAACTAATGGAAGAAAATGAAGCTTTAAAAACGGAAGTGCGGGATTTACAGCAGGAAATCGAGGAAATGCAGGTAATTGCCGAAGACAACTTGACAGTGCTTGATAGCCAACTTGTCACCTTCAATATTTGAGGACCAGTATCGCGAAGAAGAGATCGAAGAGTTCCGAGAACTGCAGAGGGAGCTCGAGCAGAATGCCAAGAACTGTCGTGTGCTGCAATTCAAACTTCGCAAAGCGGAAAGGATGAAGGAGCAGACCGACGCTGAAAAAACTCAACTGCAAACTCGTCTAAATGTAAGCTGTGATGAAAGTGTCAACTTCTTAACCTTAAAATTTCATCTTCATGTTCAGGATCTGCTCGAGAACTCGAGCGATGCCGTCGTTGCCTCAACGCGGTCTGATGCAGTGCGGGTCAAGGAACTAGAATCAGAGCTGAGGATTGCAAAAGAGGTATAAAAAAATCCATAGCAATACTCTAGTTTCTTCTGATGTACGAGAGCCAGCATAGAAGGCGAAAATTCATGAAGGATATCTCAAGCAATTTGAAATCCTTTCTGAGTGCTACTGAGTGGTCCTTATCATTCCTTTATTGCGTTCGAAAGAGCTTTCCCGTTCTCATTATAAGTACAAGATTTTGCAAAAACTCGAGAACAAAGTTTCAAGCTCAGATCTGCATGGAAAATTCTTTCAAGGGTTAATAGC